GCTTAGCGATGTACCTGTATCCGTTATACAAATTCAAGATAAATACTATCTTATGTCTAAATGTCTTATGATTGTGCATACTACAGTATCAACAGTACGGTATATTAACTATTAATGAACAATTCAAGTGTGTATAATATAGTCTCACAACGAATTAAGTTATTATGAAACCCATTATAAAAATAATGTATTCAACACTATATTAATAGCCATAAAATATGAATAAATGTGCACAAGATATGTTTAAATCTATTAAAATATTTCATGTTTTCGATGATGAATACGGATGTAATGTATTATTCGTAACAAATGATGACATTGTCTACGGGTTCGGATCTAATTTCTGGGGATCTCTTGGTTTGGGATACAATGATTATGTCAATGAAGCGCAAGTCATCCCAGAGTTGTGTCTCCAGAATATTCAACGTTTCATTTATGGACAGCCATTTGTTTTTGCAATAAATGACAGGAACTGTATATTCGTATGGTGTCAACCCCTGGGCTCACATTTATCGGCACTTATTAAATGCGAAAAACCCGTTAAGTTATTTGAAATGGATTTCAAAGGATTTATAAATACAGAAAATAATGGTTTGTTTCAAAATTATGAGAAAATCTGTGAAATAAGTTGTAGCGCTTATCACGTACTGGCCCTCACTAGTGATGGCGATGTCTATGGATTTGGTAATAACAGTGAGGGACAGTTGGGTTGTGGTGGCTCTTCGGTCATTATATTGGAGCCCAAAAAACTCCAATTTATTCATAACTCTGTTGAGTACAAAATTAAAAGCATTTTTTGTCGACATGAGTCCTCATATGCCATCACTTCAGATGGATATGTGTTTCGATGGGGTAAAAATGATTGCTATAAATTGGGAAACAATTTATCCGGAAATGTATTGAAACCACAATTTATTGAGAATATCAGTGATATTAAGACTANTATTCCAAATCTAAATTAATTACATTATATTTGTTACGAAATAATTATAAAAGTTGCATAATTTTGGAGTAAAAATATTTGATTAATTCAATATAATATTTATTTACCGTACAGTATAAAGATAAACTTATTTTAAACTTTGTTCATATTTTCAAATGTTTTCTAATCCACGTCTAGATAATGAACAAGGTCATGTTTAGAGAATAAGTTGTTTACAAAAAATTTATTGATCAAATCTCTAACCACTGGGTAATATGATTACCCCCAAAGTTAGCGATCAAATATTTAACGAAAAACTCGCTATTATTGAGTCGTTTCATATTTTGCCAAAGAATGGGAATTAAAGATAAAGATATCAAATCTTTTGCCACATATTTCTCATCAATAGCCCACTCGTGGTATGTCTTCAACACATCCTTACACTCGGGTCTGTCCTCCCAATTGGGATACAAAGCCATCGAAACCAATACTTCCCGTAATTTAATGATACATTTGTTTAAGACTTCATTATCTGATGAATACGATTGTGGACTATATATAAAAAAATATATTTCATAAATACTGTATTATTTATTTATTTATTAGTAATTTTGAAAAACTTACGACTCGTTATTCAAATTGAAATCAAATATTTTTTCACCGATTTTCGATAGACTATAGATGTCTATCCTATGGTCATACCTACCACTTGTGACTTCCGGCGCCTGATATTCAGGAGCACCTATATCCCTACCAGTCATTATATGGAAGCCCCGGTCGTGTACTGTCGATAAACCAAAGTCACATAATTTAAAATAGCGGCTGTCCTTCACATCCCGGGCCACCAAAATATTGTCGGGTTTAAGGTCCCTATGAATTATTGGTCGATAGAATTGATGCAAATATTGGACACATTCTAAGATTTCTTTGAATACATGACACGAAATGTAAAACTCGATTGAATTCATGGGTCCTCCCGGTTGTCGACCAAATACTTGTGGTTTAAGTCTAAGAATTTTCTGTAGACTATTGGAACATAACTCCATTTGGATGTAATAGTGATCGCTGGTAACCCACGAGCCCATGCATTTGACCACATATTCTGAGTTTACTTTCAGTAAATTATCAAATTCTGCGATCATTTGAGTTATTGTTTTGAATACTACTTTTGAATCCGACTCATCCTTTGGGACTAAAATCAATAATAATATGTTTATAATTAGATTTTTGAAACATTACTATAATATAGTAACTATATATAGATATAGGAATTACAATTTAAGCTAATTCGTTTGATGGCATATTCGTTTCCATTATTTTTATTCCTAACTTTCCACACCTCACCAAATGATCCCGTTCCTATTAGTGACACCATATCAAAATAATACTCAATATCCTTCCAACTTCCACCGTTTATATCTATTAATAAAGTTTTTAAAATTTATATGAATATTTAACATTATGTATTGCAGTATATTATACAATATGCTAAACCATACCATCGACTCTTTGCTTAATTCTGACAATAAGTTTATCAAAGAATTCTTTACATTTTATATGAAATTCTTCATTTGAATTGCAATTATATTCCTTATAATCGCTTAAATGAATCGTTTTATGAGTCAATTGATGTTTGTCTGTATAGTAATCAAAGAAATTATCGTAATTTGTTTCAATCATTTGCGGCGCTTTCAATAATTCTTGTATTTTTCCATCAATTAGAGCCGTTATAATAGATTTTTCGTTACTACCTATTCTGTAACTATATATTTGATACATTTCCTCACATTTGCGGTCCATGTTTAAAACTTTGGGTGTCTTTTGTGTTTTCTGATCTCCGCTTTCATTCACATATTGTCCGCAAAAATATATGAATCCATCGTTTGATAGGAAATATGTGTTCACTTCTGTCGCACATATAGTCTTAATATCACTGATATTCTCAATAAATTGTGGTTTCAATACATTTCCGGATAAATTGTTTCCCAATTTATAGCAATCATTTTTACCCCATCGAAACACATATCCATCTGAAGTGATGGCATATGAGGACTCATGTCGACAAAAAATGCTTTTAATTTTGTACTCAACAGAGTTATGAATAAATTGGAGTTTTTTGGGCTCCAATATAATGACCGAAGAGCCACCACAACCCAACTGTCCCTCACTGTTATTACCAAATCCATAAACATCGCCATCACTAGTGAGGGCCAGTACGTGATAAGCGCTACAACTTATTTCACAGATTTTCTCATAATTTTGAAACAAACCATTATTTTCTGTATTTATAAATCCTTTGAAATCCATTTCAAATAACTTAACGGGGTTTTCGCATTTAATAAGTGCCGACAATAGTGAACCCAAGGGTTGACACCATACGAATATACATTTCCTGTCATTTATAGCAAAAACAAATGGCTGTCCATAAATAAATTGTTGAATATTCTGGTGACACAACTCTGGGATGACTTGCGGTTCATCGACATAACCATTGTATCCCAAACCAAGAGATCCCCAGAAATTAGATCCGAACCCGTAGACAATGTCATCATTTGTCACGAATAATACATTACATCCGTATTCATCATCGAAAACATGAAATATTTTAATAGATTTAAACATATCTTGTGCACATTTATTCATATTTTATGGCTATTAATATAGTGTTAAATATATTATTTTTATAATGGGTTTCATAATAACTTAATTCGTTGTGAGACTATATTATAAACATTTGAATTGTTCATTAATAGTTAATATACCGTACTGTTGATACTGTAGTATGCACAATCATAAGACATTTAGACATAAGATAGTATTTATCTTGAATTTGTATAACGGATACAGGTACATCGCTAAGCATTGAATTGTTCATTAATAGTTAATATACCGTACTGTTGATACTGTAGTATGCACAATCATAAGACATTTAGACATAAGATAGTATTTATCTTGAATTTGTATAACGGATACAGGTACATCGCTAAGCAATTTATAATGTTATCACAACTACACTATTACAATCAAATAGTTTAATATAATATAAATATAATAGTAACCACATAAGTTTATTTTGTAGCCAAATATTATTTTTATAATTTGAAAAATATTGAAATAAATTTTAATACAGAAAATACATTGACACTTTTATTATTCCAAATCTAAATTAATTACATTATATTTGTTACGAAATAATTATAAAAGTTGCATAATTTTGGAGTAAAAATATTTGATTAATTCAATATAATATTTATTTACCGTACAGTATAAAGATAAACATATTCCAAATCTAAATTAATTACATTATATTTGTTACGAAATAATTATAAAAGTTGCATAATTTTGGAGTAAAAATATTTGATTAATTCAATATAATATTTATTTACCGTACAGTATAAAGATAAACATATTATTGACTTGTTTATATTTTCAAATGTTTACTAATCCAGGTCTGGATCATGAACAAGGTCATGTTTAGAGAATAAGTTGTTTGCAAAAAACTTATTAATCAAATTTCTAATGAATTGGTAATTATGATTACCCCCAAAGTTGGCGATAAAATATTTAACGAAAAACTCGCTATTATTTAGTCGTTATTCATATTTTGCCAAAGAGTGGCAATTAAAGACATCAAATCTTTTGCCACATATTTCTTATGAATAGCCCACTCGTGGTATGTCTTCAACACATCCTTACACTCGGGTCTGTCCTCCCAATTGGGATACAAAGCCATCGAAACCAATACTTCCCGTAATTTAATGACACATTTGTTTAAGACTTCATTATCTGATGAATACGATTGCGGACTATATTTGAGAGAAATATCTATTATTAATATTTATATGAATATAAGTATTGATAACTTTCAAAATACTTACGACTTGTCATTCACATTAAAATCAAATAGTTTTTCGCCGATTTTAAAAAGACTAAAGATGTCTATTCTGTGGTCATACCTACCACTTGTGACTTCCGGTGCCTGATATTCAGGAGCACCGCTTGGCCTACCGGTCGTTGTCATAGAAGTCCCGGTCGTGTACTGTCGACAAACCAAAGTCACATAATTTAAAATAGCGGCCGTCCTTCACATCCCGGGCCACCAATATATTGTCGGGTTTAAGATCCCGATGAATTATCTGTGGATCCAATTCATGCAAATATTGGACGCACTCTAAGATCTCTTTGAATATTTGACACGAAATGTAAAACTCGATTGAATTCATGGGTTCTCCCGCTTGTCGACCAAATACTTGTGGTTTAAGTCTAAGAATATTCTGTAGATTATCAGAACATAACTCCATTTTTATGTAATAGTTCGTGCTGTGAACCCACGATTCTATGCATTTGACCACATATTTTGAATTAACTTTTAATGAATTATCAAATTCAGCGATCATTTGATTCAATTCTTTGAGCACTACTTTTGACTCCGATTCTTGCTTTTCGACTGAAATTGAAATTAGTTTAATAACTAAATTATAAATAAAACTGAACTGTATAAATTACAATTTAGTGGAATTAATTTTATGGCATATTCTTGTCCGTCATTTTTATCCTTTGCTTTCCACACCTCACCAAATGATCCCTTTCCCAATAGCGTCAACATGTCGTGATTGACACTCGAATCGTTTTCTCCACTAATTGGCGGATTTTGCTCTATAGGTATAGATTGTAATACTTGTTGTAAATTATTAACATTATTAACAGTTATATTAAATAATAAGTAAACCATATCATCGACTCGTTGTTGAATTCTGTCAAAAAGTTTATCAAAGAATTCTTTACATTTTATACGAAATTCTTCATTTGAATTGCAACTATATTCCTTATAATCGCTTAAATGAATCGTTTTATGAGTCAATTGGTGTTTCTTTGTATAGTAATCAAAGATATCATTATAATCTGTTTCAATGACTTGCGGTGTATTCAATATTTCATGTATTTTGCCATTCATTACGATTGCTATAATAGATTTTTCATAACCCCTCTTTCTTTGACTATAAATTTGATGCATTTCTTCACATTTCTTATCAATATTTAATAGTTTGGGTGACTTTTGTATGAACTTATCTCCGCTTTCATTCACATATTGTCCGCAAAAATATATGAACCCATCGTTTGATAGGAAATATGTGGTCAATACTGTGGCGCATATTGTCTTAATATCACTGATATTTTCAACAAATTGTGGTTTCAATACATTTTCTGATAATCTGTTTCCCAATTTATACCAATAATTTTCACCCCAACTAAACACATGTCCATCAGATGTGATGGCATATGAGGACTCATTTCTGCAAAAAATACTTTTAATTTTGTAATCAATTGAGTTATGATTGAAATGTAATCTTTTGGGCTCTAATATAATAACCGAAGAGTCACCACAACCTAACTGTCCCTCTCTGTTATTACCCCAACCATACACATCGCCATCACTAGTGAGGGTCAGTACGTGATAAGCTCCACAACCTATTTGACAGATTGTCTCATGTTTTTGAAATAACTCATTATTTTCTCGGTCTATGAATCCCATGAAATCCATTTCAAACAAATTTATCGGTTTTTCGCATTTAATAAGTGCAGACAAATGGGAGCCCAGGGGTTGACACCATAAAAAGATACAGTTTCTGTCATTAATTGCCAAAACAAATGGCTGTCCATAAAGGAAATGTTGAATATTCTGGTGACATAACTCTGGGATTACTTGTGGTTCGCTCTGATGGTCATTGCCTCCCAATCCAAGAGATCCCCAATAATTAGATCCAAATCCGTAGACCATGTCATCATTTGTCACGAATAATACATTACATCCGTATTCATCATCAAAAACATAAAATATTTTAATCGAAATCAGGATATTCTCTACACTTGTATTCATATTGTATGCAAAAATATTTTAGTCAATTAGTCAATTAATTTTGAAAATAGCTCAAAAGTTAAAATAACTTAATTCATTGTGAGAATATATAAATATTTGATTTTTAAAATAAAACCACTTGAAATGTAAAGTAATAGTTACTATATCTCTTATAGTTTACAAAACCTTTACTTAAAATGATTGTAAGTTTAACATTATAATTCATATGAAAACCTAATCCACATTTTATTATTTTATAAGAGTTATCTTTCATTTGTAATCATTCATGAGACAATTTAGTATAACTTATATGATATGATTATTCAAGGATTTACTACAGGTGCTTATTGGACAGACATTTATATATATACCAGTTATATTTATTCAATAGATTATCATGTTTATTTTAGATTAGAATAATTCATGTACAACATTATATCACAAAGTTAGTGTTTATATTACATAAATAAAATTATTACACAAACCAATAAATTGATAATTGAATTCAATTTTATTTGCATAAATAATTATATATAAAAAATTATTCCTGAAGTTTTTCTAAAGTAATGGCAACAAATGTTAATAATTATATTTTCTAATCCAAGTCTGAATCATAAATGAAACCATATTTACTTTTAGTTCATATTTTATATAAATAACTTATTGAATATTTTATTCAAAATTAATATATTATTAATAACTGATTATTATTAGGACTAAACCTATTGTGAGATAAACTATTTTTGAAATAAACTTTTCATAAATTTTTTTATTACTACCGAATAATAAAGCACTTGAAATGAAGATTCAAATAATACTGTAGTTATTGTACAATTAATTGTATGCAAAATAACTTATTATAATATTTTTGAACAATTTAGCATAATATACTATACTAAATTATATAAATTATATTATATCATATAAATGCTAGTACAGTACAGTATAGATTAGAATGATTACTACAGTAGCTTATTGGACAACCATGTAAGATCTACCGCTAATTTATATTCAACGAATAATTGCTTTTATTTTCAATTATATTAATTTGAATAGCAGATTATAATGCTAAGCAATTTGTATTACAATTTTATTACTACGGTATATTATAATTATAATAATAATTCATTTTTCGGTATTCTAAATAATTTTTGTCAAAATAATAATAATAATAATAATAGATTTATGAAACACAATTTATGTTTTGATTTATTTCAAATGCAATAAAAGTTATCAATTATAGAAATATCTAATCCAAGTCGGAATCCTCAATGAGACCACATTTACAGCGAAAATAGTTTATGAAAAACTGACATTCGTTTGATTCAATTGTATTTAAATGTTTCAAATCTTTTGCCAAATGCTTGCTATCAATAGCCCACTCGTGGTATGTCTTCAGCACATCCTTACACTCGGGTCTGTCCTCCCAATTGGGATACAAAGCCATCGAAACCAATACTTCCCGTAATTTAATGACACATTTGTTTAACTCTTCATTATCTGATGAATACGATTGCGGACTATATATAAAGCAAAATATTACAAATTTATTTAAAATGTTGACTTAACTTACGTATTATCATTCAAATTGAAATCAAATAGTTTTTCGCCGATTTTAAACAGACTATAGATGTCTATCCTGTGGTCATACCTACCACTTGTGACTTCCGGTGCCTGATATTCAGGAGCCCCGCTTTGCGTACCAGTCATTGTATAGAAGTCCCGGTCGTGTACTGTCGACAAACCAAAGTCACATAATTTAAGAAACCTGCCATTCTTGACATCCCTGGCCACCAAAATATTGTCGGGTTTGAGGTCTCTGTGAATGATCTGTGGATTCAATTCATGCAAATATTGGACGCACTCTAAGATCTCTTTGAATATTTGACGCGAAATGTAAAACTCGATTGAATTCATGGATTCTCCCGGTTGTCGACCAAATACTTGTGGTTTAAGTCTAAGAATATTCTGTAGACTATCGGAACACAACTCCATTTGAATGTAATAAGTAGTGCTGTCGACCCACGAACCCATACATTTGACCACATATTCTGAGTTTACTTTCAGTGAATTATCCAATTCTGCGGTCAATTTAGCCAATGTTTTGATCACAACCCTTGAATCCGACTCATCCTTTTGGACTGAAAACAACATTTAAAAAATAATAAAATTAATATCAATAACAAAGCAGTTATTCTTAAAAATAAGTTACAATTTATATTAATAAATTTTACGGCATATTCTCTTCCATCAGATTTGTCCTTCACTTTCCACACCTCACCAAAGGATCCCTTTCCTATGGGACACAGCCTATCAAATCTATCGATATAATCAATCGGACTATCATTTGAAGGATTATTCTCTATTCAATAATTCAATAATTAAATTATTATCAATATAAGTAGTAATATATAGCATACCATCGACTCGTTGTTTAATTCTGTCAAACATTTGAATCAAAAATTCATTGCATTTTGTGGCAAATTCTTCACTTGTATTGCAATTATATTCCTTATAATCGCTTAAATGAATCGTTTTATGAGTCAATTGATGTTTGTTTGTATAGTAATCAAAGAAATTCTCGTAATTTGTTTCAACCATTTCTGTTGTGTCCAGTATTGAGTATATTTTCCCATTCATTAGAGCCGTTATGATATGCTTTTCTTCGTTACTTTTTCTATGGCTATAGATTTGATGCATTTCTTCACATTTCTTATCGCTATTCAATACTTTTGGTGTCTTTTGTATGAACTTATCTCCGCTTTCATCCACATATAGCCCACAAAAATATATGAATCCATCGTTTGATAGGAAATATGAACTCAATTCCGTCGCACATATAGTCTTAATGTCATTGATATTATCAACAAATTGTGGTTTCAATACATCTCCCGACAAATTATGTCCCAATTTATAGCAATGGTTTGAACCCCAGCTAAACACATATCCATCTGAAGTGATGGCACATGAGGAGTAATTTCGGCAAAAAATGCTTTTAATCTTATAATCAATTAAGTTATGATTGAAATGCAGTCTTTTGGGCTCATATTGAATGACCGAAGAGTCACCACAACCTAATTGTGCGGATCTATTGTCACCCCATCCGTAGACATCGCCATCACTAGTGAGGGCCAGTATGTGATACATACCGCAACTTATTTCGCAGATTTTCTCATGATTTTCAAACAAACCATTATTTTCTCGGTCTATGAATCCCATGAAATCCATTTCAAATACTTTGACAGGTTTTTCGCATTTAATAAGTGCCGACAAATGTGAGCCCAGGGGTTCACACCAACAATAAATACAGTTCCTGTCATTTATAGCCAAAACCAATTGATGTGCCGTAAGAAAGCGCTGAATATTCTGGTGACACAACTCTGGGATCACTTGCGGTTCGCTCTGATGGTCATTGCCTCCCAATCCAAGAGATCCCCAATAATTAGATCCCATACCGTATACCATATCATCATTTGTGATGAATAATACATTACATCCGTATTCATCATCAAAAATATTAAATATCTTAATAGATTTCATAATATTCTCTATACTCTTATCCATATTTGTGGCAAATGGTCTTTTAATGTCTGTACTGTACTACAGACTCTGTAGACTACATGAAGTCTATTGGGTCCACACGTTATCAATTATAATGTATTAAAAAATAATAAATTATTTGTTATATTAACAGTTTGAACGTTAATTCTTTGCGAGTCAGTCTAATAAGTCTAATATTTATACAAATCTTTGTTCAAATAAAGTATGAAATTCTCATGAATTATGATTATTTAGTTTATTGTATTCTTAATCATAAGATATCTCATTATTTATTATGAATATTATGTTACTAAGATGTTTGTACCACCTATTTCAGGTGCTCATTGGACAGTTATATTATAATATTTAATATTTAATACCCACGCTATTTTTCACTTTTTTATCAATTTGTATTCGAGATTATATAGCATAGCAAAAGAATTAATGAAATAATTATTTTATTTGATATTTGCCATGGATATTGACAAATATGTTTACAAAATTTCCAATAAATACAATCATAATTAAATAATTAACCCAAACCTATATCATAGACTCCGAAACTTATTAAACTTATTATAATTTAGGATTTTATAGACTAATCATGACTTACATTAAATTATGCCTAAAATATTTATAGAAAATACTTAAGTTACCACTGGTAACTTACCAGTGTCTCTATAATAAATTTAAACTATCGATGCATTAAATCATACTTTCAAATAGCTAGGTACAAAATTATTAAAAAGAATAAAATTTTAAAAAAAAATACCATGCTATTTAAATAAAATTTTAGTGTTTAATCAAATATAACAAGTATTTCCTATTTAGCGCTCATTCATTCAAAACTTTTGTCACATTTATGTGGTTTCCATAGAAACCCACAAACAGTCAACAAAATCACATTTTATTTGAAATGAATCAACAAAACAGACATTTATTGAGACAATTGTCGACACTTTTGCCACCGAAACACATCCACCAATTGGTCACTGATTGTCATCACATGCGCGACCATATCATCGGCGAACCCGTTGTCCACTTAAGACACGCCATCGAAGTCTACGTCACGGAAGCGTTGACTAACGCAACGAGCGATGAATACGTTGATAATAACCTCACCGCCGATGACGACAACATCACCCGCGAAGACATGCGACTCAAGTGCGAGGCTATAGTGGACGCGATGTGGGAGCGGATCAATTGCGGTGATTGGCAGCGGGTTTTACTTGACTATCGGTACTGTTTTGCGTACTCATCGCTCCTGAAGGCATTCCTCGATGTCTTACCACTCGTCAGATCCACTGACAGGGAGTACTGTTTGCGGCAAAAGGTGTCTGCATTGCGTTCACTAGATTTGGGACTTTTAATGAGTCCTAAACTCAATGATTGCAACATTTTAGCCAAAATGGCGACAATTATTCACGAGTCCATACAATCCGGTGATAATGAACGCCATCGCGAGTCAGACACCACTTCCAGCTGTGATACCACAAGACATAAACGCCTGAAACGTCACTCATTTGATAGTGAGTCGAGTGATAAGTGTTTTGACGGCAAAGAGTTAGACGAAAGTGAGTGCAAAACCGGTGCCAAAGAAGTCACGATACCGTCGATGAGATTGAAATGTAATCTTTTGGGCTCTAATATAATAACCGAAGAGTCACCACAACCTAACTGTCCCTCTCTGTTATTACCCCAACCATACACATCGCCATCACTAGTGAGGGTCAGTACGTGATAAGCGCCACAACCTATTTGACAGATTTTCTCATGTTTTTGAAATAACTCATTATTTTCTCTGTCTATGAATCCCATGAAATCCATTTCAAACAAATTTATCGGTTTTTCGCATTTAATAAGTGCAGACAAATGGGAGCCCAGGGGTTGACACCATAAAAATATACAATTTCTGTCATTAATTGCCAAAACAAATGGCTGTCCATAAAGGAAATGTTGAATATTCTGGTGACATAACTCTGGGATCACTTGTGGTTCGCTCTGATGGTCATTGCCTCCCAATCCTAGAGATCCCCAATAATTAGATCCAAATCCGTATACCATGTCATCATTTGTCACGAATAATACATTACATCCATATTCGTCATCAAAAACATAAAATATTTTAATCGAAATCAGGATATTCTCTACACTTGTATTCATATTGTATGGAAAAATATTTTACTTAATTAGTGAATTAATTTTGAAAATAGCTCAAAAGTTCAAATAACTGAATTCATTGTGAGAATATATTTGATCTTTAAAATAAAACCACTTGAAATGTAAAGTAATAGTTATTATATCTCTTATAATTTACAAAACTTTAAGTAATATGATTGTAAGTTTAACATTATAATTCATATGAAAACCTAATCCACATTTTATTATTTTATAAGAGATATCTTTCATTTGTATTCAAAATCATGAGACAATTTAGTATAACTTATATGATATGATTATTCAAGGATTTACTACAGGTGCTTATTGGACAGACATTTTTTATATAATAGTTATATTTATTCAATAGATTATCTTGTTTATTTTAGATTAGAATAATTTATGTACAACATTATATCACAAAGTTAATGTATATTACATAAATAAAATTATACAAACCAATAAATTGATAATTTAATTCAATTTTATTTGCATAAATAATTATATATAAAAATTTATCCTGCAGTTTTTCTAAAGTAATGGCAACAAATGTTAATAATTATATTTTCTAATCCAGGTCTGAATCATAAATGAAACCATATTTACTTTTAGTTCATATTTTATATAAATAACTTATTGAATATTTTATTCAAAATTAATATATTATTTATTAATAACTGATTATTATAAGAATTAAATCTATTGTGAGATAATCTATTTTTGAAATAACTTTTCATCAATTGTTTTATTACTAATGAATAATAAAGCACTTGAAATGAAGATTAAAATAATACTGTAGTTATTGCACAATTATATATTTGTATTAAATTATTATAAGTTATAATATTTTTGGACATTTTATTATAATATACTAAATTATATTATACGATATCATATGAATGCTAATACAGAACAGTATTAGATTTGAATGATTACTACTGTACAGTAGCTTATTTTCCAGTCATGTCACCGGCTATTTATATTCAACGAATAATTGCTTTTATTTTCAATTATATTAATTTGAATAGAAGATTATATCGCTAAGCAATTTGTATAGCTTTACAATTTATTATTATATTAAAATTAGTAAATAAATTATTTTTCGGTATTCTTGATCATTTTTGTCATAATAATAATAGATTTATATTTTGATTTGTTTCAAATGCAATCAAAGTTATCAATTAAACAAACTTCTAATCCAAGTCTGAATCCTCAATGAGACCACATTTAGAGCGAAAATAGTTTATGAAAAACTGACATTTGTTTGATTCAATTGTATTTAAATGTTTCAAATCTTTTGCCAAATGTTTGCTATCAATAGCCCACTCGTGGTATGTCTTCAACACATCCTTACACTCGGGTCTGTCCTCCCAATTGGGATACAAAGCCATCGAAACCAATACTTCCCGTAATTTAATGACACATTTGTTTAACTCTTCATTATCTGATGAATACGATTGCGGACTATAT